TTTATTCCATTCTGCTATCTGTGTCTGTTTTATGGGTGAGTTTATCTCATTCACATTTACAGTTATAATAACTATTTATTTACTTGCATCCTATTTTTCCTTTGTTTATCTCTTTCTCTTAACTTTCATCCTGTTCCTCCTTACGAGTTTTACCCCTGATCATCACCTCCCCCAATTGCTCCTTTCTCTTCGTCCCTTTCCTTCTCTTATCACCATACCTTTTTAACTTCTCTATAGAATAAGATAGATTTCTATATCTAACTGAGTGTGTATGTAATTCCTTCTTCGAGCCAATTCTGATGAGAGTAAGGTTCAGACATTTTCTGCCACTCCTCCAAGTAGCTCTTCAGATTTTTTTCTTATGTAAGATAATCTACTGCATTCTATCTTTCCCTTCCCTTTTCTCCTAATGTAACCTTCTTTTTCACTCTTTAATTTTGTTCTTTTTGGATAGCATTCCATCATAGTCATGTCATACTCATACCCTCTGTCTATGTATGTTCCTTCTAATTTCTCCTATAGTGATAACATTCTTAAGAGTGGGAAATATAGTCCTCTTGTGTAGGAATAGAAACAGTTTAATCTTATTGAATCTCTTATGTTTTCTCTTTTTTTTTTTTGCTTTTTTATGTTTCTCTTGAGTCTTATATTTGAAGATCAATTCTTTTAAAAAATTTAGCTCTGTTTTTTTAATTAAGAATGCTCGAAGGTCTTCTATTTCATTAAATGTTTATTTTCTTCCCCAAAGGATTAAACTCAGTTTTGCTTCCAAGCCCTCTGTTCCTTTAATGTAGAGCTGCTAAATCCTGTGTAATTCTGACTGTGGCTCTACAATATTTGAATTGTTTCTTTCTGGCTGCTTGTAATATTTTCGGCTTGACCTGGGAGCTCTGGAATTTGGCTATGATATTCCTGAGAATTTTTGGGGTTTCTTTTACCAATATGTTCATCTTGGTACTGGAAGTCTTGATATTTGATTTTTAAAATCTTTTTTGAGCTCTCTCAGGAGTTCTTTTTGGACCTGATACCAGTTCACTTTTTTCTCTGAGGCTTTGCATGTAGCCATTTTCCACATTTTTGTTGTCTTCTGAGTTCTTCTTTTGATCTTCCCTGTCAACATAGTAACTTTCTATGATCAGAATCTTTTTTTGTTGTCGTTCATTTTTTTCCCAAGCCTGTTTATTGACTTTTAATATTAAGTTGTGTTCTGTTCGTAGGGTGGAGGGGGCACTTTCCTAAGCTTCAGGTTTCACATGCTGCTTTTTTCAGAGCTAAATTCCTAGGACTTGTAAGTTTTTGGTTTTTCCAAGGTGGTATGATCTAAGGGGAGGGGTGGACACTGTTCCTCTGGCCTGTGCTGTGGTCTGTGAGTGGCCACAAGCATTCTCTTTTACCCTGTACCTGTGACCAGGGTTTCTACTCCACATGCTCTAATGTAGCACTTCTTAAACTGTGTGTTGCGACACACAGTTTAAGAAGTGCTGAAAGGGTTGTGAGTGGAAAAAGTTTAAGAAGCCCTGCTCTAATGTGCTAATGCTTTCCCTCACTCTAGGACTGTGACATGGGTCTGTGAATGGGTTCCCTTTTTGCACAATGCAACAGGGTCCTGCATTCAGTGTCAGCAAAGTGTCCACTGTAATCTCTTACCAGTTGTCCAGCCTCTTTATCATTTCTGGGCTGAGTGTTAGCAGAGTGGCTGCTGTTGATTCAGTTGCCCCCAAGGCCTTTACCGGCTTGCTAGGATGAATCATGCTGCTAAGCTTGTGCGCTGGGGACCGGGGCCTTGCTGCTGCATTGCTAGGATGTGACCTGCTGCTGGCTTTACTGGGCAGGCTGGGCTGGACAACATTCCATTCTTATGTCAATGAGACAGACCTCTCCTGTCAACCTTCTAAGTTCTTCTAAGCTGGAAAATTATTTTACCCTGTCCTTTTGTTAGTTCTGCCTCTCCTGAATCCATTTTGAGATGTTATTTTAAAGTTGTTGGAGGGGAATCTGGAAAATAGATAGAAAGGGGAAAATTATAAGAAAATAAATATGTGGAAACAAAAGTGGGACCAGTATATGGCAAGTTACGTATTTATCATTATCAATTTTAATGTATTTCATTGAAAGTTGTGCAGCTATTTATCTTTATCTTGGTTTTTTAAAGATATGACCTTTAAATTAATTTTTTTTAAAGATGTCAGATAATACATTGATCATTTAGCAAGCACTTAATACACACAACTAATTCATATGTATTTATAGCTTTAACAGAAGATTTTTAAAAACGTTAAAAACTTGAATACTCACACATCCAGTTTTATGTGTGTTTTCATTATTTAAATTTTTCTCCTAGAAAAATTAATTTTAAATATGAGCATATGCCTTTATTTTAGTTTATCTTGATAGTATTGGCCCAATAAATACAATTTGTGCCTGTTGCATGAAGACTAGTTAAAGTTTAGAGGCTCACCACCAGGTTTCTTACAATAACTCTTAAAAGACTATCTTACTCAGTTATAGAGAGGTTTTACTCTGCATTAATGGAAAGAGGACCTGCACTGATGAAATCACAGATTGTTAAAGTATTGAAGATATCTTTGTTAATAATAACAAATAGCACAACAACTCAAATTTATGTAGTACTTTATGGGTTGTAACCCATATTACGTAAAAACATAACTGTTTTTATTTCACAAACCCTATGAATTTGGTAGTAAAAGTAGTAGTATCTCCATTTTACAAATAAGGAAAATAAGACTCAACAAGGTTAAATGACTTTCTTAGGGTTATAACCTATAAGTGGGATTCAAGCCAGTTCTGTCCTAACTCCCAAGTCTACAACTCTTTCAACTATACCTTACTTACTGCATCTTAGTTTATGGAATTATTTAATAACTTAAGAGCATGTTATTCTACACCCTTAAAAATAAACAAAAACTAGAGTTTTAAGTATAGTAGGACTTTCAGTCTTTGGAATAAATGAAATACTATTTTGGCTGATTGTTTTTTTCCCTAGTGGCTCCTGCCTTCTCTGGGAACATGTAGAATCATCTTTACCTGTGTCCTATTCTTTGCTTCCCAATTCTAGTCAGTCACAAAGTCCTAGTCATTTATAAATTTGTGCTATCCCCTTAGTTCCATTTTTTTCCTTTCCATTTCCTTGCTACCATCCTAGTTCAGGCCCTGATTTTCATCTCCAACTACTACAGTACTTTTGAACTTTGAGCAAGAAACCACCTCAGTGTCAAGTCTAACCTTATTTTACACGTGAAGAAACTGATGATTAGAGAAGGTATATGTCTTGCTAAGGGTCAAACACTTAAGTACCTCCAGTGAAATTTGAACCCAATGCTTCCGAATTCTGAGGCCAGGGTTTTATCCACTACTCCCTCTTCTCTCTCATTTCTGCTAACTAGTTTCCCTCTCTGCAGTCTGTTCTCCCTCTAATTTATGTTCTGAGATTTTGCCGGAGTAATCATCTTAAAGAATTTTAATTTATTCGCTAGGTGAAAAGCGTTGTTCAGAAACCTTCAGTTGACCCGACATTATTCACTGAAGAAAGTCTAAATACTTTTGCTTCATGCACCTTCCCTGTTTATATCTTAGTGATTTCATTTCCTCCTACCCCTTTCCTGTCAAAGGGATTAACTATTGATTTGTGAACACTTGTGGTTTCCTTGCTCATGCTGTGCCTTCTACCTAGAATGATCTTTCCCTGAATTTCTATTCCATGTAGATTTGTCTGTTTCTCCCACTGCAAGTAATTTGTTCCTCCTCTGAATTACCATAGTACTTTGCATCTGTACTTTTATATCATCTTATCTTGCCTACTAGCTTTTAAATGAGATTTAGGATTGTGTTTATTCTTTTTAAGTATTTAAATTAGAATGCCTACAGGGTGGAGAATTTAGGGCCTTGAGTTGCCCTCTAAGTCCTCTAGTGTGGCCCTTTGACTGAACAAATCAAGTTTGGATTCAGAGGGCCTCACTTGAGGACTTAGAGGGCAGCATGTGAACTCTAGGCTGCAGATTCCCCACACCTGCCCAATGCCTTGTATATATAACAGTTATTCAGCAAATATTGATTGAATAAATATTTTAACTGATTTCAGAAATAAAAATTTAGATATATATCTGTAAAAATTATTGCTAGTCCTTTCGTTCTTGAAAAGGACCAATGACATCACAAGGGACTTCAAAAAACAATTTATTTAAGAATGAATTTTATTCCAGGTGCTGGCATGCATGCACAATTTTGTGAATACAAACTTGTTTTTAGAACTTTTGGTCACTACCACACTGAATTTGGCAACTAGGATGAGATTATTAAACTGAGATAGAGCTAAATACAAATTAAGTCTGCCATAAACACACTCATTCTACTAGAAATCCTGATTATGTTTTTGCCTAAGTAATGCTGCCTATTACTTGTTTAGTAAAAAGTACTATGAGATAACATATACTTTTTTGTAGTATTTAGAAAAGACGCATAATAAATCATTACATAGATTTAGAGGAAAAATTCCATATTGCATACAGATGAAGTATTTATATGCATGTTCCCAGAATATGCACTGTAGAATAAAATATACCTGTTCTTGAGAAATTGGCAGATTTTTCAGTATTCTGATGTTCTTACTGTTTTAATCTGAACACATACAATTACAAACTTAGATTTCATCTCAGCTAAAAGAGTATCAACAGGAAACTGTTGAATAAATTCCTTTGGCTTTTTGTTAAATAGAGCCCTTGTACTTTGAATTTCAAATCAGCCACTTGGCACAAATAACTATAAACAGCTCAGATTAATTTAGGGGCTTGTTGATATTCCTTTAATAATGATCTTTTGACAATTGTTCTTTTAATTTCTTTTTCAAGACTTTGGGTCTTTAGATAGTCCATGCTCAAGTTTCATGAAGTAATTGTATTATCCAATTGTATATTCTTTTAAAAAATTAGAACCGAAGTTAAATTACTGTCCATCTTCAATTTTTGTTTATTTTTTATTTACAGGGAAATTGCTTTTACTAGGCAACTTCATGAGAAAACGTCTCAACTCAGTTATTACTATATGGGTTTCTACATTCACTCTTGCCCCAAAATGAGATATAAGGTAAAGTTCATTTTATTTACAACATTTGGCAACTATACATTGAAGTAAGTGAATTTAATTTTTTAATTGATTGTGTTAATACTGCGATACTGTATTGTATTCTTCATTGTGCCATATAACTTAATATTAGCAAAATCTGAAACTCATTACCCTTAAGCCTTATCTTAAGAAATCAAGATTAATTTTATGGTTTAGGAGAACTTTGTCTATTCTTTTCCTTTAGGACTGAGATAATCTGCATTTCCAGAAATGTAGCCAGTCGGTAGTTCTTAGTAAAGCTTCCTTTAATATTCCTAGCTAAACCTCAAAATCTTCATTGGATCACTCTTCTTTTTGACCCTGCTATATTCTTTACTTTCTTTCTCCTTTGAGTTTACATATAATTTAAGAAGAACTCAAAATTTTTATAAAGGATGTGTAGATATTCACGGTTCTCATACTGTCTCCATATTCCAATCATACGAACTTTTCAGCTTTTCATTTTTCTTTCAACTAGAAGTGATCTCTTCTTCTGAATTCTCAGCCCTTTATACCTCTTTTTTGTAATTTATAGTTTATATTGTGTCATAATTATTTTGTACATATCATATCTCCTGCACTACATTTTAATCTTTTGAAGACAGAGACTATTTCTTAGCTTTGTAACTGTCTTACGCATAAGACATGCCCAATAAACATTTGCTAAATGAGTGAATAAAATGTGTACTGAAACTTCATTGTAGGATTTCTAGTTCATCTTTGAAACATTCAAGATTAATAGTTTTGCAGAAAAAGTCTATTTGGTATTTCTGCAATTAGAAATAGGACCTCGACCTATGATTTCAGGGAATTTCTAGGTGAGGAAAATCTCATTACCAGTGCAGATTGTCCTCTTCTCTGTAATTATATAGTTTTAGAGAGTTGCTTGGACTACTGAGAAGATTGAGTGTCTTGACTACAGTCGCAGCTATTATATATTAGAAGTGTAATTTCAGTCTAGGTCAGGCCTACACAATCTGTGGGCTGCAGGTTGTGCAGGCCTTGTCTGGGTCTTTCTGGCTTCAATTCTAGCTCTTCAATCCACTATATAATATTGCCTCTCACTTTGGTAATTAAATAGGAGGAAGTTTTAAAAGAACTTGATAAGATCCTTTAATAAAATCAGCATATCCTTTGATACTCATTGATGTCAGTGCAAAAATGGGAATAGATGAAGGTAGTAAAAAATATCTTGAAAAACGTAGATCTGCAAGAGGGAATGAGAGAAACCCAAAATATATAACCTAAACAGAAACCTCACCCCTGTTCTCCCCCTGGCTTTGATCCTGATTTTCCAGACTTCAAAACCATGTCTTAGCTGCTGTAACATCCTGAAGTTTCCCTCAGCACCTGGGGCTTCATTGCCCTAGATTACAGGGCTTATTAAACTTTTTCCCACTAGCAGCCCCGTTTCAGTTTTAGCAGTGTTAGTTGGCATTGCATGGCTTCAGCACAGTGCAAAGTGCACATGTTTTGTATTTGCCAGATGCAACTCGGGGCAAGCCCTGCAAGAAACACTTCTGATTCCTTATGTGTTTGATTTTTAATTACTTTTTTGGTTGTTGTGTGTTCAGAAATCTTTTACTGTTACCACATATTTTTGTGACCCACAGTTTAAGAAGTGCTGAGCTTAGATCATTCAGTTATATTGATCCCTTCCTCCTTGGGTCTCCATTTTGTGGAGGAGCTCAGACCATCCAAAATTTATTTTATTTCTGGCTCTGTTCCTAACTTTCTGGCTTTAAAACCATGCCAAATGTACTGTCTTAGCCTGGAACTTCCCTTACATAGCCTCCTGAACATGAAAATCTGTAATAGTCTTTTGAGTAAATGGGAAACTATAGATTTGTCATATAGTTAACTTTTCACCTTATAATGAATAGTGTTATGAGTTTCAAATATTTACAACTTAGCATAGTAATTCCTTTGATACCTTTTGTAGAAATGTTATTTCCAAGTTTTTTATGTTATCTTCAGAGGAGTATGGGGTGTTTAGGGAGGACTAGCACCTCCAATGTGAAGGCCTATTAAGCCCTTTTCAGGGCTGCTCATCCACCTTTGGTATCCACCTCCCACCCAACTTTTACCTGTGTCTCCAAGAAGCTGTAGCATGCATAGGTGCTCCTTGGTAAACCTTTTCAGCAGATAGGCTAAACCAGATTGAGGGTAACTGCTGGTTCTCAAATCCGTTGCTGAGTTAGGGGAATGTCTGTCCCAAGCATGTGAATACTTCCCTTGGTGGAATGGGCCACTGAGAACAATTTATTTTGGTGGCCCTGAAGGTGACTGAAGCAGGCACTGTGGAGTGTGTAGAGCTTGGTCAGACATCAAAGACACCAAAATCATCCACTGCATCCTGGGCCATCTCCAGTTGTCTTGACTTTTGTCTTGCCACTGAACTTCAGTGACTTGGGCAAAGAGAGTAAGGTTGACATCTGTGCAACTCTGCCTCACTTAATCCAATTTATGCAGGAGTCAAGTCATCATCCCGTGATGTCATTGTTCCTCTTTGAAAGAATGAACAACAACAATGTTATTTTCACAGCAGTCAACAAATAATGATTGCTATCCAGCATTTTGTGAGTTGCAGATCATTTTATATACATTATCTCATTTGACCCCAATACCCCTGTGCATAGAGACGGCGGAGAAGGGATTGAGAAGACAAGCTCTGTTTGCTTACAAAGAAATATAACACACTGTTCCTGTCTCTGTTGGGGCTTAGAGTTCCCTGTGTTGTGGAATCAGAATGTACGTACAAAAGGACAGGTAACTATAAAACAATAGCATGTACTGTGTTGAGTGAGTTAGTACAGGAAAAAATACTATATAATGTCAAGGGAAGATATAGTAAGGACTGGATCAGTAAGAAAGATGTCATGGAGTAATGAGACTTGAACTGTACCTTGAACGATAGTAACCCTTAAACAGAAGGAAGGATGTTGTTCCAGACGGGGAGAACATGTATTCAGGCAGCATTGGCTGCTCCAGTTTGGCAGGGGATTTATGTAAATGAATGATGGAAGATCAAATTGGAAAAAATAGGAGCATGTATTATGGAGGACATTAAATGCTGACTAACAAGTTTGTACTTAATTCTGTACACTGCAGAGCAGTTGATGAATTTTGAATTGAGTTAGAGGAAAGATTGATGATAGGTTTAGAATGGTGGAATCAGGATTTAGGTTTGAACATTTCCTGTGTAGCATTTTGCAGTTCTCTTAAGCTGTCTTCACTTCAGCTTCCTCATTTATAAAATGAAAGGAGTAGATCAGATGACTGCTGAGATCCCTTCCAGCTTTACTTCTGTGATCCTGTGATAGTCATTTTTAGGATAAATTGAAGGGCAGAGAGGAACAGACAAGAAGCCACCAGGGTGATGCTCGTAGTGAGCACCTGGAGCAAGGTGAGGATAGTGGGAACAGAGAGGAAAAGGCGTTAGTGACTTAGTAGATGTAGGGGAGAAATAGAAGAGTTAAAGATGATTTTCTGGATGGTGAGGTGAATGATGGCCAATAGAGAAGTCTAAAGAAGAGCTTGGTTTTGGAGGGAAAGATTCTCTTATATATTAGCCATAGAGAGTTTGAGATAATGTTGAGGTATTCAAAGAGAGATATTAAACAGATAATTGGAGGTCTGTTACAAGTTATAAAAATATTGATGGAATGAATGAATAAATAAATGAAAAAGAATTTGTTAAATGCTTACCCTGTGTGAAACACTGGGGATACATACAAAATACCAAGACGGCCCTGCTCTTAAAGAATTCACACGAAGTTTTAGGTGCAAAACAGAGGGAAATGTTGAGTGGTCCTTAGCATTCAGTGGCAAAGCAGATTATAATTCATCTTCTTTAGAGTCATTGCCATTGATACAACCATATCCATGGAGCCTTATAATAGTAGGGTGGTAAGAACTTTATTTTCTGTTGATAATAATTGAGTATCAACAATGAATTCAGTGTTTCATAAGGTCATTATATATTTGATCTATGAAGAAGAAAGAACTCAATGCCTTTTTCTTTGCCAAGATATTTTTCAAGAATTAACAACATCAATGATAAAGCAGTGTTACATTGTGTATGTCCAGATATTTTTTCATAGCTTTAGCTTAAAATGATGAAGAGCTCTATTTACAAGGATGAAAAGTGCTCAAATTATTATAATATTGTATAAGTGAAATGAGACTTGGGTAATCCAATATAGTCTCCCTTTTATGCAGGACTTTAATCTAAAAATTCTGGATTTAAGATTGCCTGCATCTTAGTCTTCTAAGATGTTCTGAGAAGATAATTGTATATCTCCCTGATACCCATTTTAATATTGTCATATTTCCTTGAGCAAATTTTTCATTTTGTTTAAACTAAATTCTTATTACTATAAATTTTGCCTTTTACATATCCTGTAATTAGTCTATCTGATGAAGGGAAACAAAACAATTAAAGTGAAAAAAACCTTTGTAACAAGTTTCTCTATAAAAGTCTATTTCCAAGATATATAAGGAACCGATTTAAATTTATAGGAAAAAAAGCCATTCCCCACCTGATAAATGGTTTAAGGATATGAACAGGCCGTTCTTAAGTGGAGATTGGCAAATATGACAAGAAAAGAAAATGAAAAATGGCATAGGGGCTGTGGGAAAACAGGCACATTGATATATTCTTGGTGCATCTTTCAATGGGTATAGCTATTCTGGAAAGTTTTTGAGAATTATACACAAAATGTTATTAAACATGCCCTTTGACCCAGCAATAAAAATGCATCCTATATTCAAAAGATATCAAAGGAAAAGATTCTTTATTTACAAAAATATTTATAGCACCTCTTTTTATGGAGGCAAAAATCCCATCTGAAATCTAAGAGGATGCTCATCAATTGAGGAATGGCTAAATAAGTTGTGGTATATGCATATGATGGAATACTGTTATGCTGTAAGAAATGAGAAAATAGATTATTTCCAAAAGAAATGAAAAAGAAGATAGT